GTTTTATTATATAGTACCTGATTTTTGAATGATAAAATTTAGTCCCTGATTTTTGAATTCCAAACTTTAAGCACCTGAGTTTTTATAATTTCCCTTAGATTTTTATATGATCCTTCCAAATAAAGCCCAAGCCCAATAGAAGCTGAAGTACCTATATTATTTTTTTGACCTGATGCTAATATAGAAATTTTTTCAAAACAAATTTGACCTTACTGTAAGAAAAGCATATCTGTCATCATTAAAATATTTTACTTTTGCATTTTTGTTAAGTACTAGTGTGGTTAACGTGCGTTGCACGTTAGTTGTTTAATGTTGAAAATAGATATATGTAAATTTCAGAGAAATTCATTCGTAAAATATTCATAAGTTAATTCAAATAATCTCACATGTCGTCTATATTATTTGTATCTTTTCGATTCTTCATATGAAGATTTGATATTAATTACGTCATAAATGTATTCTTAACTAAATATAATCATTGATTTAATGATTTTCTTTTGTATTAGGTTGTAAATATTTTAGGAGCTTCAATGAAGAGTTAATTACCCATGCTTGGCACATTTTAGTTAGTTATTTGTTTAGATTCAAATTGTTTGTGTTAGGAACCTAATTACTTAGTTTAAAAGTTCTAATAATGAGAAATTTGATTGTTATTTTTGTGTCATTTTTAATCATATAATCTAACAAGAGAGCCAACACCTAAAAATAACATATTCAATCGTCAAGAAGTTAGAGATTGAAAATATTGAGATTCCTATTAGTTTGGAAGTTTGGAGATAGTATATTTTTTCATAATTTAATTATTTATTTATTGTTATTCAAATGGTTTGCCACTTCGAAACGGCATCGATGTGTCTGGTCACGCAGGTGAGGGCAGTGTCCTTCATGAGGCTCGGAGGCGTTGGGGATCGACCTGTCCGGTCAAATCGCGGGGGTCGAGGGGGCGTGCCCCTCATGGGGGTTCGGGGACAATGCCCCCGACAGGGATCAAGGGGGCAGCGCCCCTCGTGGGGGTTCAGGGACAACGCTTATTTGAGAAAAAAATGAAGACTTGTATCCAAAATCATCGAGAAATTAAAGGCGAGTTCACATAGTTGACACAAAAACCCTTGGCTATTTTTTACCTTAACACCATCTATTCCTATAAGTTCCTAAAATTTGAACTTAGCATCTAAAGTTCCAAACCCTCTTGACTGGCACAAGTTTGAAGATTTGGAGTTGGAAGAGGCTAAGATTACACTGTGAGGGCACTTGAACTTTTTTTAGTTATAGCTGAAACATGACCTATAAGAAATTCTATTGCTTTAGTAAGTAAAAAAAAAAAACGTTTGGTGGTGTGTCCGTGTGCGCACGTAGACACGGTATCTCTCTGTATGGCACGGAGACAGGTCTCTGTGTGCACAAACACGGGATCGTGTCTCCGTTGCGCACGGAGACACGGGACCACACCAATTGAAGTGTGTTGACGTGAGATCGTGAGGAAGATCAACTTGCCATCTAGAGTGGGCTGCTAAGCAACAAAGCTTAAGGCCTACCTCGCTGAATCAACAATCCTAATACGTTCTCACAATATAAACACCAACGTCAAATGCAGCAAACTACTTCAGCATAGCTCTGTTTTGTTATGAAACAAATGCAGGTGACCTTGAGGTAACAAAACTTACTCCCAGAAACCTAGTACAACAACCCATTCTAATGCTAAAAACGCAATCACCCTGTTGGAACTAATACCCCTTACACCAATTGTCTCCCTTGACCCAAACTCGAATGGAATAAATCTGTCAATCTAATACAAAAAAAACAAAAAAAAAAAAAAGCTTACTCCAAAATGATAATCACACTCCAACAAGGACAAATCAATTTACAACCTGAATTATAATGAAAAGCAAATTTTAGATTGTTCAAATTTTAGACTTTATATTTAATATGATCAAATTAAACCTAATTTAACCTAGCTCCAACAAATTCTCAAAAATCAAAACCGGTGAAAATAAGGTAACCTCTAAATATTTTATCCAGGAAATCCATAAATAGCTGTGCCAGTCACCTTCAATTTTCCATTCACCAGCCACCTTAAAATCTTAACAACGCTAAAACCTCACAATATATATTCACGCATAAATATTCAAAGAAAAATGTAAAAGTACAGATCAGCCACGACAAACGTATTGATTAAATGTATTATAAAACTGTGTTGAGAAAATAAAGGAGAAGACGGAGACACGGGCTCCATGCTCAACGGAAACACGGCCCTTCGGAGTGAAGAATTCCTACAAGACCCTTTAGAGAAAATGAAAAAGCCTGCAAATTCAGTCGAAAACAAAACCCATAAGAAGAAACTAGTCAGCAATGTGACAATAAAAACTACTGGTTCTAGCAAAGAGGACGCGAAAAAGGACGACGAAAATGCGAAGAAGACGAAGAGGCTGAGCCAGGTTAAAACTCCAGAGGATTCGAAGAAGAATTAATATAAATGAATGGCTATATAATGTCACAAAGAAAGGGGAAAAATATAATCCAAATCTAAGGTGTACTCCAACTGCACGAGTTTGCCAAATTCTTTTAGGAGCAAAAAATATATTGTTTGACAGCATTAGCCTTACAAATGGAAATGAATGAAAAGTTTGGAATAGTAGGTTGCGTGGGAAAATGGAGGATGAGTGGGTGGTTGCGTGAGATAATAGAGAAGCAGGAATAGCGGTGTGGAAAATTTTGACTAATTTTAGGGAATTAAAAAAAAGGGAATTTTTTACGACGATTGGAATTGGCAACACGTGTCCGCGTTTACTTTGGCTCTTTTTAATATGTAGTGAAAAAATATACCACTTTGACAAAGAAAAACGAAAACAAGAACAATTCCTTTCAGCCACAAAATTGTCCCTATTATATTACTTCATAGTACACAAAATAGGAAGAGATAAAAATTATTATATATTCTTTATGTTAGTAAGAAATATTTAATTTAATTTATAAATTTTACATTTGCATTTTTATATTTAATTCCTCAATGAACATTTAATAACTCAAACGTGTGAACCTATTCCCTTTGCATCTCAAAATGTGAGAATGTCGAATATTATACTAGTCCAATCTCTCGAGTTATGAGATGAATTTTATTTTGCTACTCTATCTCTTAAATTGCATGAAATCTCCGTTTGAATAAAGAAATGTTATTTGTTTAAATATTTAAGTAGTGTTACGAATGTAAGAAAAATTGTGTTTGAGGGCCTCAAAAAAATTAATCGCCTAGAGTTTCTAAATTCTCGGGACCGACCCTGATTCTAACTATAGTAGTATGATGTAATGCTACTTTGTTGTATTCTTAAAAAAAATGCATTTTGCACTAACTTAGCCCTTGTTTGAAAGTGAACCACAATCATTTTCAATATACATTTTTCAAAAGACATGATTTTTTAACAAAAATAACTTCTCAAAAAATCAACTTCACATGACGAATTAATTCTTTAGATGGGCGTAGCTTATAAAATCAACTTTCTATTAAAAAGGAGCTTTCTAGGTATTTATCGAGGGATAAGAGTTATATTCAGCGTGCGAACTAAGGCTACATGGAGTGGACTTTTATTTGAACAATGCTATTTAGTATTTATCTTCATTAGATGTGACGTGCGAAGAGAGAAAAATTTGGGTAGGACAATTCTAAATGCACATATGATAAGATCGTTCATTCAAATCACAATATCTTGAATCTCGAGCCATTCAAAATGCGATGCATCATAATTTGAGGTGGTAAGAGAGAAATAAAGTTGATATCTCCGTATCCACACATAGGACAATTCATTCAAATCATAGCACTTCGATTTTATTCGATAGAGATATAGCAACGGCCTAAAATAAAGTATGGTTTAATGTAAGGCGAAATTTCAAACTTTACGAGTTTAAGTGAGTCTGAGCGACGCCTAGGCTTAAAAAAGCGTTTTGTTATTTTTAAAATTATTTTAAATTTTTAATAATTTTAAAAGTCATTTAATAATTAAAATGATATGTATCAAACATTTAAAATTATAAAATGCTATATTTACTTAATAATTCATATAATTAGTCAATTATATAATTTTAAAGTTTTTGAAATGTAAAAACTAGACTATTTTTCATAATTTTAATTTTCAATTAGACAAGCCATATTTAATAAATTTATAAGAACTCCACGCATACTTTCGAAGTTTTCAACAAAATAACGAGTTTCAAGATCGTAACTATATATGTAGATAGCACCTTAATTTAATCTTATTTAACACTTTATCGAATAAAATCATTTTTAACTTTTGTACATATAGTCTTTTGAAAATTTGAAGTTAAGTCAAATAAAAAGTTTTTGAAAAATAAAAAAATTTAATAAACTAAAGTCAAATAAAAAAAATTTAAAAAGGAAAAAAATAAAAAATTCAAGAAAACGCGCATAGGAAAGATGAGAGAGAGAGAGGAATGAAAAAATGCATTAGTTTAGGATTTGAAAAACAAAAAAAGTGCCTAGACACGCTAGGACACTGAGATATAGCATTCATTTTCCTTTTAAAGGTAGAACCCCAACCTTGAGGGTCTTCCGCCACCTCTTCCCTAGAATATTGTGGAGGAGGTAAGTCGCGGGATATGTCTCAATAGATTAGGGTACAAGAACTGTCATATTAGTGCCCACAAAGAATCTAATTCCATACCTTGTAAGAGGTAGGAATTGAACCCTCACACTGCAACTGTCAGCTCAGTTGAGACTACTTCACTCATATCCTTTACACCATTGAGCTATGAAACAGGGCTACTCCATTTCCTTTTAAAATAATTATATATTACTCTCTTTTGTTTTTGAAGTATAATTTTTTTTATTAATTATTCATTTTAATTAATAGGGAATTTATTACTTGTAAAATTATTACGCGCTGCGGGACCCACAAGCCAATTCCAGGTTTTCCCGATTGTCGTTTCGAAACCCAAATGGGAAGCCATTTCGAGACCCCACTGATAATTTGTGAGGTACAATACGATCAATGGCTGCCGCTCTAAATACAACATTTTTCCTTCAGAGTAAACCTGGCTGTGGCCATTCACTTCCAAGAATCAAGCCTTTCAGATTCAAGGCTCCCATGGCCGCTCTCGCCACTGTTCCCACTGTCGGACTCGCCGAGACTTTCTCCAAATTGAAACAACAAGGCAAAGTAAGCAGCATTCCTTTATCTTTTCTTTTTCTCTTTGTTGTTTACTGCTCTTGTTTTGTATTTCTTCCAAGACTCTGTTTTTTGTTTAGCTGATTTGGATTTCAAGTTTCTTTTAATAAAAAAATTTGGTCATCGTGAGATAATTGTAGGATAATTAGTGACCGTTTTGATTGAAGATGGATACATGTTTAGTATTTTTTTCCCTAGTAGAATAGTTTATAAAGGAAATCATGCATTGTATAAAAATCTGTTACCTTTATCATTTTGTGAAAGAGGAAACGGATAACTAGGGAAGGCTCTGTTATGGTCGAAGCTCAATTTCTATAGAATTCAATCAACAATAGCTAAATTGCAACCAAAATCAACACACAATTGGATATAATCAGCTGGGAATCAAGAACCCAATCTGTAATTCTATTAATTGAACTGAAGGTTACACTGAAATAACAAAGATAAACAGAAAATAGAGAAATAAGGGGAAGAATTAGAGAAGTAAGAAGAGATTCAGATTTAGAGGAATAGAGAGAGAAAGAGAAATAGATTCAGAGAAATGAAGAGAAGAATAGAGAAGCAGATTGGGGGCGGGAGGAAATTCTGTTTTGCAACAACTTTCAACTTCCTTTCATCCTCCCTATGTGCTCTATTTGTATAGTAGGCACTGGACGTTCTAGAATGCATTGGTTGTGGTGGAAAATGGCCACCAACCGCCCGAATCACTGCAGCAGACCCTCCCGTTACTCAATGGATAGCGCTTATTCTCTTTCAATCAACAAAATGAGAAATGGGGGAGAAAGAAAAGGGGCGCCCTAACTGCAATCAAATTAATGCGCAGGAAGAAGCTTGAGCTGTCCGCTAGGTTTATTCATTTTGTGCTCGTTCGCTTAACTAAATGTGACTCCTAATCACACTCCCACGGGACTGAGCTCATTCTGAACGTTTTCCTTATGCCGCAGAACGGGGGCATATTAAGAAATTTGAGGAGGGGGGTAGAGTCTTCCTTCAAACTGACGATGGCCTTTTGTGCTTAGTGTCGGACTCTCTTCCCTTTAAATTTGCCATGTCCTCGAGGTTCAGAGTCTGGATATCTTCTTTTTATGAAGTTGGTAGCTGTCTCTTTCTCTTCACCACTCTTAAATTAAGCAAGTAATGCAAGGTGGCATATGCCTCATTCATCTCATCTTCTTGGATCTGATTCTGAATTGCATACTCATCTGTAGCATCCTCTAGCTTTAACCAAACTGTCAGATGAGTTTCATGCAGTTCCATACCACAACGTTCATCGAATAGATTAAATAAAAAATACAGTACACTAGGCAGCATAGGAAGCAATGCGCTCAGAGCTTCCTCCTCACGGTCAACACAGCATGCATTCTCAATCAAAACTTGTCCAGTGTTCAAATATTGACTGCCACCCTATGAACTTTGGTTGGAATGGACCTGCAATCAATTTTAGCATCAGGCCACAATAGTTGTGTTTCTCGTATGGCAAAAATTGAAGGATTATTTGCTACAATAGCTCCATCTTGCCAGCACCAGCAGTATACATCATCAGAGTAATAATCTAGATAATATGGTGCTGTAGATTATGCTTTTATAGCTTGCCATATGTGATGCTTACAACTTAATGAAAGCACCAATGAGCTTTTTGGTAACACTTTCCTTTATAAGGGATGCAGCATCCTCTTCCGCTATACCACCTATCTCACCAATAAGAACAATACATTTTGTTTGATGATTGGCAAGGAACTTTTCTATGCATTCAACAAATTTCGTTCCATTGAAAGGGTCCCACCAATTCCGACATATGTTGATTGTCCAAGGTCAATGGCAGTAGTTTGAAAAACCACTTTATGAGTCAGTGTGCCAGACCATGAGATAATTCCAATATGTCCTGGTTTGTGGATGTATCCAGGCATAATTCCAATCTTACACTCCCAGGCTTGATAATCCAAGATAATTTGGACCTATGAACCGAGTTTTTGACTGCTTGTTAAAAGCAGTCTTGACACGAACCATGTCATGCCGCCTAAGATGCAAACAACCAAATCTAGCTTAGCCTCACTTGCCTCCTTCATAGCTTTAGCTGCAAAAGGGGGAAGAACATAAATTACTGTTGCATTAGCCTTTGTTTCAGCTTTTGCCTCTACTACAGAGTTGAAAACAGGAGGTCCCAAGTGTTTTGTTCCACCTTTTCCAGGGGTAACAAAGATGAAAAAAAAAACAGAGAAAGAAGGGGCATAAGTAGCGAAGTTAGAAGAGATTCAGATTTAGAGGAATAGAAAGAGAAAGAGAAAGAGAGAGAGAAATAGATTCATAAAAATGAAGAGAAGAAGAACAGCGAAGCCGATAAGAGAAAGGGGGTTTCTGTTTTACAACAACTTTCAACTCCCCTTCATCCTCCACATGTGCTCTATTTATACGGTAGGCACAGAACGTTCTAGAATGCATTGGCTGCGGTGAGAATCATGATAGGCTCAAATTATTTGTAACTCCAATGATGAATAATTTTCATAGCAAGAGCAGTGATTTTTAATATAAATGGAAGATATAACTGACATAAAGTTGAAGAAACACTGCTGCCATGCCTTTTTTTTTGCTAATTTGATGGCCTATTTTTAATAAAATAAATAAGAGAGTCTTGGTTTCTGCATTTAAGGAGTCAAATTTTGATCAGTACTTCTATAATATCTTCGGACGTGGGAATCCTATAGAGCATAAAAGATATAAAAGATAACTTATGAATTTCTTAGAGCAAAGTGAAATTTATATTGATTTGCTTGCTTTTGTGACAACAAATGATAATATTTTCAACACAGTTATTTGAAGTTCAATGTGTATATTAATTAGCTTGTTTTTGTTTTGAAAGGTGGCATTCATCCCGTATATCACAGCTGGCGATCCTGACCTTTCAACCACAGCTCAAGCGCTGAAGATCCTTGATTCATGTGGCTCAGACATTATAGAATTAGGGGTGCCTTATTCAGACCCATTGGCTGATGGTCCAGTTATCCAGGTTTAAATATGTGGTTAGATGCTTATTGTGTCGTACTTTTGAATTCCAATTTTTTCTGAACTCATTTTGTTTACACAGGCTGCGGCTACACGTTCACTAGCTAGGGGGACTAACTTCGAAAAAATTATTGCAATGTTGAAGGATGTAAGTTCAATTTTTAAACTGTGTTACTTATGAAACAGACTGGAAGTAAAGGACAGTTTTGGTTTACCTCGATACCATTTCAATAGATGTATAGCATGGCATACATTTAACCTAATTACTTCTGGATGTGATGATATAGTTAGGCAGCACATCGCATTCATGTAACTCGTTTCTCACATGCATATATGATACGATTATATCTTTATCTCGCGTTTTCGACTAACCCACGACTTTGGTAACAGGGGAGAAGTAGACCACTTGATATAATTATTTAAATTAATTTACTATACTTTATCTGGACAATGTTCCAATTTCTTTTCTCACTTTTTTCATAGAACATTCTCTCAATAACTTTGTCCCTTGCTGACTTTACTGTATAATTATGCTGTCATAGATTTGTAGTTTCTTAAAGTAACCTTTTTTTTTTGCCCCCACAGGTGGTGCCTCAATTATCTTGTCCAATTGCAATATTTTCATATTATAACCCAATACTTAAGCGTGGTGTAGAGAAATTCATGATCACTTTGAAAGATGCAGGGATACATGGTAATATGTTGTTACACTTGCCGATTGCTGTTTCTTTGTTTTTTCACTGTATTATGATAAATTTTCTGTTATTTGGCATCTATGTTAACTTGAATTCTTCATAAGCTCGCCTCAAATATTTTTCTGTTCAGGACTTGTTGTGCCAGATGTCCCTCTGGAGGAGACAGAGATATTGAGAAAGGAAGCTGCTGATAACAACGTGGAATTGGTTGGTTTTCGAACTTAATAATTTTGCTCTTTGTTTGAGCTTTGTAAAGTAGCATATTCTAAACCTTATTATGGAGTCACATACATGCTTGCAAATGGCAAGTCATCTGATTTAAAACTGATAACCCAATTTTTATTAAGGTTGTTGCCATAGGGACAGATCACTTATTTAAGACAATTTAATGTGTGTGATAGTCTTAATATCATGACTTTCTGTTTGTGAACTAGTTTGATCAATTTTATTTATCACACACTTTATGCATTTGCAGTTCTAATTCGGTCTTAGTGAAATATCTTTTTTGCTTTTGGAATAATCCCTTTGAATGAGACAAAGGTTTGCCCAGTGGCTGTATCAATCAGTTTGGAAATGATTCTAGATTCAAATCTCGTGGAGAAGTGGTTTGGGAAGGGCTGTTTTTCCCCTATCTTGTAGTCTACTGGACAAACCAACAGAATGAAAAATATCTAATCACTTTGAATGGGTCTGCATATTGTCTATGGATTATCTTATTTGAAATATGTTGTTTAATCATGATTGAGGGATGATAAGTTATTGAAAAATTGATGTTAGAAGGAAGTACGAAAAATTTTGGGACCTCTTCTATGCGATTGTCTTCTTGCAAAACGATATATCTCTCAAAAGAGTGCTATAATTAGTTCAGTATTTGAACTGTTTACATGGGCGCACTTGTGACTTTTGTAGGCACATTTTTTTACCTGCTTAATTCTTGCTTGTTACATCAGGTGCTGCTCACAACACCCACCACTCCTATACCGCGAATGAAAGCCATCGTTGAAGCTTCAGAAGGATTCGTCTACCTTGTGAGTTGCCTATTTTCCTTTAATTAATTTAGGTATGTGTTGATATTTGATTCTTTTTTCGGAGAAAACTTGAGCGTTCTTCCTGATTGTCATTCTAAGATTATAGCCCCTGTTTGGCCCCCATNAATTATTAGATTTAGCCCCTGTTTGGCCCCCATTAAATTTCATTACATTACATTAAATTTTTCTCTCTCTTCATTACAACCACACATTCATCAAATAAAATAATATTACACACAAATCTAAAACTTTTCACTACTTTTCCACCACACATTCTCCCATCAATCACTATTCCAAAAATTTTCAACCATAAAAAATGCACAATAATGGAGGCCAAACAGGGGCATAGTGTCTTGATTTTTGCATAGTTTATCGTCCTCTTTCTTGTCATTTTGTGTCATATATTTACTTCTACTTAAATTTTCTTCCTTTTGTTAATAATTTGTTTGAACCTGTATTAATGATGACACCTCTATATTAGGCACCGTACAAGTGCCTCGAGTAATAGTAAACACAATATACCTGTATTAAGTAATGAGGAAAATGCACTTCCAAATTTCTTAATGAGTTCTAAATTTACTTCACTACTAAGTTCTGCCACTTGAAGTTCTCTATTTATTGTTTTGTAGGTGAGTTCAGTTGGAGTTACGGGAGCTCGTGCATCTGTCAGTGATAAGGTCCAATCTCTCCTCCATGATATAAAAGAGGTAAATATTGTTGTCAATTGTCAATCAGTTAAGCTCCCAACAAATTCTTGAGTATTCTTCTTGTGCTACAGATTTTCTCAGTAACCCATCTTTTATTTTGAATTTCACTTTTTCTTTTGCCATCAATCATATAACTTTTTTTTTTTCACTTGAAAAAGTAATAATATAATAAAAAAATTCTGTGAACTTGAATGTCATTTTGACAGGCGACGAACAAACCAGTAGCAGTTGGTTTTGGTATATCAAAACCCGAGCAAGTGAAACAGGTCCATCTTTGACAATATATCCCAATACCCTCGATTATTATCCTTAAAGCATAACGCAAGTCCACCAACTATTTAAGCATGGTTACAGGTAGCCGGATGGGGAGCAGATGGAGTGATTGTTGGTAGTGCCATGGTAAAATTACTCGGTGAAGCAAAATCCCCTGAAGAAGGCTTGAAAGAATTGGAAAACTTCACCAAAACCTTGAAGGCTGCCCTATTGTGATAAAAATGATTTTGTAGTTCTTGTACCTTGTTTTGAATCTGTGTTGCAGCAAATGAATTGATTGGAATTTTGTTAATTGATAGTGTTACATTTTGAAGCATGCTAAATCTCTTTCTCCCTACTATTTGATGATCGATTTGATATCGATTATAGATTGGGAGCATGAATTGAATTCTATGAGATCTAATGTCTTGTTGTTAATTGTTATGGTCCTTGTTTAAGCCATCTGAAATCAAGATTTGATAGTAAGTTCATAGATCTCATGTGTGTGAATCAAGCCGGATATATCCTTATTCAGTGGATGTAATTTCTGGATCCACAAAGCGTCAATGCACGCCTTGCAAGGAACTCGATGTTATAGAAAGTAAAAGGAAATAACTTCAACCCTTTCAGGGGTAGTCGAGTCAGTGGAGCAGGTGAATGCGAAGACTAAATGTCACGAGTTCGAATTCCCTGCCAACACTTCTTCGATCGAGCCCGTTATACCGGGTTTACCTCTTATGTGTGGTTTGCGGACTATTGCACATGGAGCGGGATTTACCTGGTGAGCACTCATAGTGGTCGAGCCTTCGTCCCATCGGGGTAATTGGGCTCCACTGGTGAGTAGCGGCTGCAGGTTTCTACGTCAACAAAAAAAAAAAAGAAATAACTTCAACATAATTATTGCAAAGTGAACATTATTCTTAGAAGTAGTCACCTTTTCGGTTTGGCAACAATCCTGCACTTTCAGCGGAAACCAGAGTCATATGGTGCTCAATACAAATGGATGTTCTAAAGAAAATCCAAGACATGTAGTAACCAAGAAAAATGGATAGCAAAACGGGAAATATCTAATATGCATTGAGCTTAACTGTTGAGATTATGTGGAAGTCATTTTCTATTAAAAGTGATGGACATAAATAAAAATTCAAACACAGCCTTGCATGAGAATTGTCGTCTTTTGTTGCAGAGACTCGATGTCGAGATAATGTGTACATTAAGACAAAGAAATAATTGTACGGATCATCTTGTAAATATGGGAGAAATGCAAGGAGAAATTATTATCATTCTCAAGAATTCATAGAAATCTATTGCTTTTTGCAAACAATAATAAAAAAAGAAGGGTATTACCATCACAAATTTTACTTACACAAAAGTATAATCATGTACAAAAAAGCTATTTGTACCATTAAAACATGCTTCAATGAATGCGCCACAACAAATTTACAATTACAATCCTAACCCTATAAAAACTAAAAATGAAGAAAAAAAATAATAATATTGTGATGTACCCTCCATCTTAATATTATTACTTATTTTTCTCATCTTTTTCCATCCACCTAAAACAGCTCTTTGGGCAGCAAAATCTTATCAATTTTGTAAATTGCCAATGGATCTTCATCAATCAACGTCCCTTTAATAGTCGTAGTGACGACTTTAGTCGTAAGTTTCACTGTCTTCTCCTTCGTTTTGTAATGTAAAATACATTGCTAGATCTCAACATGCCTAGAGATTCATAAATAAAAAACCCATGATACAACAAGAATGAAATTTAACCATCTGAAGTCAAATTCTTGTATTTTGATATGAAATTGTTTATAGATTCATCTGTCGGGCAAAACATTAACCCACCTTCAACACTACTTGAAAAAGTGTAAGCGATATCAGAGTTTATTAATAGATTGAAAATTTCTTTCAACCCTGCTTCACCATTAATGAATTGGCCCGTTCAAATATTTGGGTCCGTCGACACGAGCTTCAACTTTTGAAGACAGCATTACATGGCTGATTTTGATTACACCAATAACATGAGGAATTTCAAAAAGGTGGAGGAACATATAAATATGAATAATGCTATTTACAGTCGTTCACTGCGATAGTGTCCTACGTGGTACACACATGTCCAGTGTGTATTTGATGCATTAATGTGGTAAAAAAATCACCACATTAATAAATCACATAACTACTTATCATGTATGTGTCACGTAAAGCGACTGTCGCAGTGAGCGACTATGAATAACATTACTCTATAAGTATAATTGAGACAAGAACATCTTTAGGAACACAAGTTATCTGCTGCGGACGAACGCAAAGGTCTTAAGAGAAGAAAAATAAAACAGATTTATGTTTGTTGTGAAACAATAAATTATTCTAAGCTATTTACGACATTTTACTTAAAGCTATTTAAAGAAATAAGTAAAATACTAAAACCCCAATTCCGCCCCTTAAACCGATTACCATTTCTGGGAAAACTATGCAGATCTTTGTGAAAACCCTAACCGGCAAGACGATTACTCTCGAGGTTGAGAGTTCCGACACAATCGATAATGTCAAGGCCAAGATCCAAGACAAGGAGGGCATCCCGCCGGACCAGCAGCGGCTTATTTTCGCAGGAAAACAGTTGGAGGACGGTAGAACCCTAGCCGACTACAACATTCAAAAGGAGTCTACTCTGCACCTTGTCCTCCGCCTCCGTGGCGGCGGAACTTGGAGGATTCCTTTCGTTGCTAATCACTTGGTGAAAAAAATTTCGCAGCTTAACCAAAAAGCGGAGAAGGAATTGATTAAAACTTGGTCCCGGGGTTCTACTATTATTCCCGAAATGGTGGGCCATAGGATTGCTGTTTACAATGGTAAGAAACATGTGCCTTTTCGTATATCGGAGCAGATGGTTGGCCATAAATTGGGAGAACTTCGCCCTCGTCGTCAAGCGAGAAGAGAAAGAGAAGTTCAGCAGAAGAAGGGAACGAAGAAGAAATGAGAGACAACAAGGAAACGTCAGGGCAGATTTTTGTCAACTTTCTTGAAGACCATCACGCCATGTGCTGCCTTCCAATTTGGCAAAGATTCAAGTTTTTCATGATATTTAATGCTTTTGCCTATGAAGTACTTCTAATTATGAATAAAATTGTGACATTGATGCAGTTGCGTTTTTGTTGTTGGATGATTTCATTTGGCGTTTTGTTTATCGGATGATTTCAATTTGCATCGAGTATGAGGTCCTCGGAATAATATACCTTCAAGTTAGAATGAATTTAAGTTTTCACCATCTCACTGTTTAGAGTTTAGGTCTCTGCCCGTCTTACTTCTGCTGTACCTTTCGAATGTAGAGAACACTGCTAATGTTAGGATTTTGTGTTGAAATTATTTGTTGGAACCAGTCTGTGCTTGGCAATTTGTTCCATTGAGCTTTTCTCTTATTTGATGGGTTCATCAGGTTTATTCCTTCCAATTTGCGTGGAAGGTATACTGAGTTTTTAAAATTGTGGGATTGTTAGATTGTTCGTGAATCCAGTCAAATTATTTGAAGAAATTGCATAGGCACCGGAAGTGATTCATCTCTGTGTAAATAGAGTTTTTATCTTACCTGAGTTTGATTCCCAAATTTTATGCACCAGTTCTCTATCTGCTATTGATGTTTTTACCGATCATTTTACTGCTTGTAAGTACAATTAACCAGAGGATCAACCATTAAGTACATGCTACTACTAGAAGTTTGAAATAGTGAATCTTTTTTGTGTTTCATCTATTACTGTGATTTGAATTATGTCTTTTCAGATGGATGGTGGTGAAATTGGTTGAAAGGAAGGTGCAAATGAAAATCAGAATTCCTGAATTGGAGCTTGGGCCGATGAATGTAAAATGACATCTTTGGTAACTGCTTTCTTCTCTATACTGTGTTGCTGTGAAGTTTATAGCAGTTACTTCACATGTATGCCACCTTGATATTTCTTTAGATTAAGAAATCATGTCCCTTGGATTTGGATATGCGATCAATTTTGATGACAAATGCTATGCATGCTTGGCTGTGTCCAACTTGCATCCTGCAGTACTGAGTGTGAATGAAGCATTCTCCTCTATTACCATCTCAAAGAACATCAGACCAACTCATAAATTATGCTTCTGCTGGCATTGTTTTTTATTAATGCTGCTTTATTATGGGAACTTGAGGGCCAGTCAGTTCAGTTTTGTTATTATGGGGTTTTAAAAGAATATTATGGAAATATAATGTAGAAGATTATCTCCTCTGATTATCTTGTTATTCTTAATTTGATCCGTCTATTTATTACCCTGATGTTCAGCTACTATTCATCCTAAGTATCAAAGATGAAGATCCTGTAGTCAGGTCTACGGCAAATGGTGGCCATTAGTGTGTGCTGTCCACGATCATATTTTGCCCTTTGTTGACTGTTGTCACAATGAATACAAGATTGCAGGAGGTAACTTGATATCTCATTTCCACATATTCGGCGAAAGGGCAACTCTATGGCAGATTAGTTGTCAAATACCAGCTTAAACAAATTGATAGGCTCTGTTGCCAAAACCAATAATTATTCAAGATTTCATTTTTATGGACCATAGGATGGAGGAAGTTCATGTATTGCCTATGTTTTGCTTAATCGTTACTGTTGCTTGAAATGGGTTGATTTTAGTTTTGTTGTTATGACTACCGCAGTCGTTAAGTATGAATAACATTATTCATTATTATTATTACTTTGAATTCTTTGATTAATGGGTTGTTTATGGAAGGTAAAATCAATGATACAGTTTAGGTTATAGCTTTGGCTTCTATATTTTTATTTCATAAAATTGGCCCTTTTTTCTAACTTCATAAAACTGGTAAATAATAATAATAATGATGTTTGAGCCCCCTTTTTGTTCTTTCTATTTTGGAAAAAAAGTGTTTTAAAATAGTGTTTTAATTTGGAGAATGTGTGTTTAAAAATGAACTTTTGAAAAAGGGCTTTGCTACAAGTACATCAGGGTGTACGTAAGGGTGTTCATAATGGGCACCCGACATCTCCTTATTGGATAGAGTACCAGTGGGGCCGGCACTCCATCCAATAGGGGGTGTCGGGTGCCCATTATGGACACCTTTATGTATACCCCAATGTACAACAAGAATAATCCTTTGAAAAAGTTCAAATTTGAGCCCAAAAATACGCTAAGTTGCCCCCAAAAGGTTTTTGTTCATCACCACTTGGAATTGTGATCGATCTTAAAATCTAGTTTTAATTCCGCTCCTAGAAGGTAATAATACATAACAGTTAATGTATTGTGTCACTGATTTAAACACATCTAGAATGAAAAGGAAGAAATTTATTTATTTTTATTATCATTTTTGAGGAATTACACTAATTAATCATTAATTCACCCATTCTCCTTGTCCCAAGTGGCTAGAGACGGTTGGTAAACTATTAATTAGAACAAACTTTAAATGGATTATACAATAATTAAGTTGTGTTTGTCACTAGAACTAATAGTCAATTGTTAAACTTTGTTCTCAACTTATTACATCAATTGTTTCTCTTGCTAGTTGACAAATCTTAACATAATGAAACATCGAAATTGAGAATAACACTTTAATCTAGTCTCATCAAGAAGAGATCGAATTTTGAAAGAACTCTAATTTTTTTTATTAAGAGGATGTTTGGTGGAGGTTAAAATTAGATTTTTAGTAAATTGTGATAGAAAATTTTGAGACGTATGATTGAAAAGTTGTGGGACCTATGAAAGATGTGGTTGATATTGATTGTTTGACTTTGATTTGGATGAAAATCAGATTTTAATCTGAATCAAATATGGGCTAAATTATTAAAAAGCAACCACAAACTACAAACCCTTGGGTATAGTTTAAATAGAAAATACTGATAAGAAACACTAATCTTGCAAAAAATTGAAGTGCAAGATAATGAAATCACAATTGCTTATTCTTGGACCCACCATCTCCTTATTCATTTGGAGCTCTTGGTGTGGTAGTTTTTCGAGTGGATTTTCGACTAGCTGCAATCTCCCGTATTACATCAGGATCATTTTGTGCTCTCATTGTTAAGGCATGATGCCTCTCCCTTTTCGAACTTGTTTCATTTACCTCTTCAGATGGACGCTTCGAAGAGGGCCTTGTGGACATTTGTGAGGCTCCGTGTCCTCTTCTTTCATCACTAACAAGACAATAATAATATTATATAAGTGAATTAATTATGAAAACTGAATGAATGAATTAATAAATAATCAAATAAAAATTGTGCCTTACCTAGGTTGTTCAGCAGGGAAAGGAACAACAACCTTTTCAACCTCGTAATCATGTTCTTCTGTAACTTTGTTGATTTCTTCCTAATGATATTGTACACAGAAAATTGAAGTGTCAAATCATATATGGTAATGGACAAATTGAAGGGAGTTTTAAGTTTACTTACATCTATTTTGGATTCTGTAGGCAAGCCATGAACAGATTCAGATGTTTCATCGATGTTCACATCTTGCACCACTGCTGGCGAAGAATCAACTGATTCTGTACATTTTATTAACAAATAAAAAGAAATATTTATCCTTGTGAGATGGAAGAATGTTAACGATATACAATGAGATGGTGGTTCAAACTTTCTTGCTTTTAATGTTGTGAGTGATTTCAATTTGTGCCTCGAACAACATGTACCACGTGAATGTCGGGTTTTGTGATCTTGAAAAAGGGTCATAAAAATGCTATATATTTATGACGATCTACCGTGTATGTAGAATGTTATAGTACTAATTAATGAACGATAAAATGTTATTGAATGGTCGTTATGACCGTTAAATGCGATCTTAAAAATGGTCACAAAATCTTTATATATTTATGACGATCTACGGGATCGTAGAATATCGCAATGTTAATTCATGGATGTTAAAATCTTCTTGAACGGACATTGTAATCGTTTAGAAAACTTTTTTAGGGATCTATATGATAGTCAAAATTTCTATATAAAGACCAAATGATTTTTAAAAAAAATGGGGATGGTGCTTACCTGCAAAATTATTCATTTTCTAGCGAAGATATATCAAACTTAGGACAATTTAGGATGACAAAAGCTACCCCTACATGAAACTTAGAACAATTTAGGATGACAAAAGCTACTCCTAGGGAGCCTATTTATATTCATTAGAATTTATTACATGATTGGACAAATGTGTTTAATTGGTTTTCAGTCCCATCATCTTACAAATTAAAGTCAAACGTTGAATTTAACAGTTAGTTCAATTATTATTACAAATTTATTACGCACATTTCATGTATCCATTAATTCTCTTCATCATAATCTCACTATATTTTTTCCCAAAAATCTCATTGTATTAATTATATTAATTACTCATTAGTTCTAACTTTTTATAATGTATTCAAATTTTAAGTGTGAAAAGATTAATGCTATTTATCTTCATGGGATTTATCCTCGTGTGATGTGACATTCTTATCCATAAGTGAGTTTTATATTTATGCATTTAATTGATCGTATCATTTCGTGACACATCACATACCAGATTATGTGGAGATCCTCCCAGTGATGTAAATAGAATTGTTCGCGTGAAAAAGATTTCGGTAATTTAATGTTATTCGAAATAAAACACCATGTGACAATTGAAGAGCAAGGTTTTTCTTGTCACTATGATGAAATGATTTTCCATAGTCGGTTCATTTTTCTTCAATGCACAATATTGGTACGATACAAAGGAAGTTTTGTATGTTGGGAGGAGTTAAAACCGATTAGCACAAAAAACAACACAAAAATGGATCTGCTAAAATGACAATACTAATATGAAATAAGAATTTCAAGAAACCGAAATATATTGAAGTGCAAGATAATGAAATCATAATTGCTTATTCTTGGACCCACCATCTCCTTATTCATTTGGAGCTCTTGGTGTGGTAGTTTTTCGAGTGGATTTTCGACTAGCTGCAATTTCCCGTAATACATCAGGATCATTTTGTGCTCTCATTGTTAAGGC